ACCTTTACATAATCTCTCTTGGTTCTTATTTTTCCCCCTTCCACTGCCCTCCCTTCAACCCCTCCATTCCTTCCTATTTACAAAGACTTTGTTTCCATTTTTTTCATTTTGTGCAGAACTTTTAAAATTTGATAGCATCCCATTTGTTGACTCTTGGCAGTATTTCTTGTGCAATCGTGATTCTGTTCAGAAAGTCCTTGCCTATGCCTGTGATTTCAAGAATTTTCCCTATTTTATCTTCCAGCAGATTAAGGGTTTCTGTTTTAACCTTTACAGCTCTGATCAATTTTGATTTGAGTTCAGTAAACAGTGAGAGATATGGGTCTTTCACATCCACAAGGCCAGTTTTCCCAGCACCATTTGCTAATGAGGCTGTCTCTCCCCCAGGGACATCTGGTTTCTGAGGAAAAGCCACTATCCTCAAGGCAGACAGGATCATATAATTAGTCTTCCAATCACCACACCTTGCCGGTGGCAGGACTCAAAAACAAAATTCACAGAGCAATTACCTCTATGAACAGTGTAGAACTGGGCTTGGTGGTGCACACCTGCAATCCCAGCGCTCAGGAGGCTGAGGCAGGAGGATTACCACAAGTTTGAAGCCAGCCTGGGCTACATAGTGAGTTCAAGGCCAGTTTCAACTCCATGGCAATATCCTGTCCCCAAAAAACAATACAAAGAAACAGAAAAAAGGTTGCCTTCCTGGTTCTGTCAGAGGACTGACCATTCCTCTGCATACCCAGTGTGACCGGGCATACAGCAGCACCTCTGCACTCCCCTCCATCAGCGCTGGAGTGGAACTAAGGATCTCCAAAGGGTAGACCCAGAAGGGACTGGCTGTCGCTTAATGCTAATTGCTGCCCAGTGGGTGGCCCGGCCTGCGGGGACTTCCAGCTCCAGCGGAATCTGATTAGCGGCTATTTTAAGAAGGCATGAGAAAAGCATGAGAAAGCGTGCTTTGTGCCTAAGGAGAGAGTCAGGGCAGCCCCCTTCCCCTGCTGTATCTGGCAAGGACAGCGGTGCCTACACAAGGTGACTGAGCGCTCACCAAGAGGCAGAGCTTTCAAACCTAAGACGGGAGCGGAGCTGGAGAAGGTCCCCTTCTCCACCCCTTTCCACCCATGGAGCTGAATTCATCCATCCCCAAGGTCTGTTACAGGTGTGGGTAATCTGCTGGCAAAAACTAGGGCAGTTATTTTTATTTTTTGAAAAACAAAGTTGTATTCAACCAATTACCCTTGATGAAGACGAGGGGAAATTAGGAACTCCAGATTTCCCTTTACTAAGTTGTACCCTCTTGATCGCTTCAGAGGGAGAGGAAACAATCTGTATTACTCCAAGGAACTCAGACTCTGCCCAGTTTTTGCTCAAAGTCAATTGTTGGGTGGTTTTGTTTGCAGGGGTCGGGATTGAATCTGGGACCTTTGCTTTGCCTGGTTTGGTTGCTTGGTTTTTGTTTTGTATTGTTTTGTTTTTGGAGACAGGGTCTGGCTGTTTTCCAGGCTGGCCTGGAACTGAGGGCAGATTCCTGCCTCAGCCTCCCGAGTGCTGGGATCACAGGTACCACCACACCAAGGTGAACCCAGGGCCTGTGCACGCCTGGCAAGTGCTCTACCAACCTTTGTTTTTTGTTTTGTTTTGTTTTGTTTCTCCTGGTACTGAGGATTGAGCCCAGGGCCTTCATACTGAGCTACATCCCAGGCCTTTTTTATTTTGAAACAGGATCTCATTAAGTCACTAAGTGGCCCAGGCCCACTGGGTGGGGACTTGCGATCTTCCTCTTCAGCCTCCCGAGTAGCTTGGATTCTGCCCTACTTGTTGGTGATTGTTTGTTTATTTGTTTATTTTTTGAGACAAGATCTTGTTGTGTAGTTCAGGCTGGCCTTGAACTCAGAGCAATCCTCCTGCCTCAGCCTCCGGAGTTCAGGGATTACAGGCGGCAGCACCATGCCTGACTCATAATAAATTATTAACAAAGGACATCCATTTTCTTTGGCTCTGAGCCCTGGTCCTGCCTGGTGCAACAGATGGGAGTCATGAGGCACTCGGTTCTTCCCTCTTCTCGTGCCCCAGGGATGAGGCAAAGACCCAGTCCCCATTCTGCAGATGCACTTGGCAGCTCTACCTGCTGCGACATTCCACAGGGATGTAGTCACTGCGATTGAATAAGTCACTCAGTATTTGAAAAAGCCCTTGCATTCAAAATAGCATTGTGTCATCCTGTACATTTGGTGGGAAATAAGATTTCAGTTGGGACTAGCATGTGTTTAACAATGTTCCAATACTTCCTACGTTCCCTTGGTAAATAGCAGAAAGGAGGCCGGAGTCTCAGAATATTCTCCAGGCAGTAACATCTGCTTGAAATTGAACCCTGCCAGTTGTGGTGGTGGCACATACCTGTAATTCCAGCCCTCAGAGGCTGAGGCAGGAGGATCCCTGTGAGTTTGAGGCCAGCTTGGGCTACACAGTGAGTTCAAGGCCAGCCTGAACTACATAGCGATACTGTGTCTCAAAAAACAAAAACTTGAGTCTCACCTGGTACTTCCCCAACTAGGGACCCAGTGGCTTGGCCTCGGCGACTCAGGGGATGAAGGAAGCTGGAGAGGCTGCCCTTGGAGACCGCAGCCAGGGGTTGCAGCCAGAGATGCGAAGGTCCAGACCTCGGTCCCCAGGGCTCCGAATGCAAGGGTCCTCACTCTGGGTGCCCAAGAGGGAGGAGCCCATGATGTCGGGCACCATCCTGCCCACTGAGACCACGGGGTGGGCAGCTGCTGCTTGGAGCGGGGACTCTTCCCCGAGAGCTGCATAGACCAACACTGCTTCCTCCTCTTCTCTTGCTTTTCCACAGGGTAGCTGGGGACAGGTGACAGCTGACATTCTGCCCCAGGGCCCAGGCATCGGTTGCTCTCTGCTGGGCATTTGCTTGTTTGTTTTCTGAGACAGGGTCTCACTGTGTAGTTCAGGAGGCTGGCTTTGAGCTCACTCTGTAGCCCAGGGTGGCCTCAAAATCACAGGGACGCTCCTGCCTCGGCCTCCCAAGTGCTGGGGTTACAGGTGTGTGCCACCATACCCAGCTCTTTACCATTTTAATTTACTCCTTCCTCCCCCAACCACCTTCACCCCAAAGTGTCGGTGCATGTGGGCTCATTTCTGCACCTCAAGTCGGCCCATGGCAATCCACTGGTAGCTTGTAGCACTCTCTTGGAGCTTGCTTCCGTGTTTCGGTGAGCTCTTCAGATTTCACAGGTGCCTCCTGGGCTCTGGTCCCTAACAGCGGGTGAGCAATCCGAATAGGACAACCGTGTGGGGCAGGAGTTTGTCCTGCTGCAGCTGAGGGACACATTTAACTTTCTGAGCTCTGTTGGGGGTGGCGTTTCAAAGTCTTTGGGACACAAGTGGGAGAAATGTGTCACACTGCAGAATAGTACTGGGCACAGGAGCCCGCAGTGACCAAAGCACTGACATCTCCAGTTTAAGCAGGGCTCTGGGCTGGGTGTGGTGGCACACGCCTGGAACCCCAGCACTCAGAAGGCTGAGGCAGGAAGGTCACTGTGAGTTCGAGGGCAGCCTGAATTGCACAGGGAGACCTTGTCTCAAACAAACAAACAAGCAACCAGTGTTCTGGCTGAGCCTGTCCCAGGCTGCAGCAGTGGCATCGCAAGGTTGTGCTGCAGTGTCCCCAGAGGGACAAGTGTGAAGCTGCTTCAGACAAGGCCACAAGGGCCATCGCCAGGCCACTCTGGGAAAGGACAACACAGATGTGGGGTGCCCCCTCCTCTCCCGGAGTTCTGGGAAGTCTCAGGCAAGCTGACTGCCAGGATGAGACAGCCCCGCCCCTGCCAGGAATCCCAGTGACAGACACTGAGCAGGCTCCAGGCCTCCTCGGGTCCTGCACCAGGGCTCAGAGTGGGGTGTGGGCCCCTCGTCCCAAAATGGGGCTCTAAAGACAAGGTGGGGCAGGGCTGCCCCATGCGCCCTTTCCAATTGTGGGCAGCAGCACCCACGCTGCCTTGTGGGAGCCACCTCTCGCTCCCCTTGAAGCCCACGAAAATGTTTTGAGACAAACCTCCTGAGTGCTGGGATCACATGCATTCACCCCCGAGCCCAGCTAGGGCCACACATTTTAGGTGTGGTTTTGCCATCCTGGGTTTCAGAGGTGAAGTGGAACATAGCCCAGCCATGGTTCGGAGGCAGACACGTGACAGTCAGAGCCAGAACTTCAACTGCTTGCTTTCCTGATGAACTCCATCTTGGCACCGTGTGAGCTGGACTCACATGTTTTTGCAAGAGGATTCCTGGGGATTAAAACCTTCACATTGAGCTACATCATCAGCCCCGTTTTAAAATTTTTATTTATTTATTTATTTATTTATTTATTTATTTATTTATTTATATTTTAAGACAAAGTCTCAATAAATCACTAAATTTCCCAGCCTGGGCTCATGGAATTTGAGATCCTCCTGCCTCGGACTCTGGAGTGCTGGGATTATAGGTGTGGGCCACCAGGACCAGCTCAGAAGTCATCAGATTTTTAACCAAATTTTAGATAGACGACTACATTGTTTCATGATGGAAAGAAACCAAGATCTTCTACCGAGATATGCTGTAAGCCAAGGTCAGTTTTTGGGCCTCTCCGTTCCTTGTTAATGTGTTATTTGTTTCGCCTAAGTTACTTTGTGAGGCTTTCTGACATCTGCAGGACAGGAAGTCTTGACCTGCTCTCCTGTACCTCCCTGGGCAGCAGTGAGGCTTAGTTCCTTTTTCCTTCTTTTTTGTTTGTTTTCTGAGACAGGGTCTTTCTGTGTAGAAGAGGCTGGTCTTGAACTCACAGCAGTCCTCCTGCCTCAGCCTCCCAAGTGCTCGGATCACAGGCCTGTGCCACCACACCTGGCTCCTTCTTTGTTCTTGTTCTGATTCAAAGTTATCTTCATTTATTATTTTTTTTCCCAGTACCAGGGATCAAACTCAGGACCTTGCACTCACCAGTGAGGCCTGGCACCACTGAGCTACATCCCCAGCCTGAAAGTTTTCTTCCTTTAATTCTTTTTTTTGTACCAGGGATTGAACTCAGGTTCTTGCACTTTCGAGGCAGGTGGAGGAACTACTGAGCTAAATCCCCGGCCCAACTCTTTTTTTTTTTTCTTGAGACAGGGTCTCACTATGTAGTTCAGGCTGGCCTTGAACTCACTATGTAGCCCAGGCTGGCCTCAAACCCACAAGATCATACTGCATCAGCCTCCTGCATGCTGGGATTACAGGCGTGCACCACCGCACCAGGCTTGCTAAATGTTTTTCCTGGATGCAGAGAGGCTTGGGGCAATTGAGAGGTGCTGGATGCGTGCATCCTTCTAGCTCCATCTCCCTGGCCGGTCTTACCACACGTGTCTCCCGAGTGGACCTCGGCCTTGCCCTCCTCCCACATCCCAGAGCCTCTCTCGGTGCCTGCAGACCCCACTCCCTCGGGGCCTCCTCCAGGGCTGCTTCCCCAGCCCCTGCCACCCCCGGGCGGGCCCCATGGTCTGAGATGCCCTGGCTTTTCCACTGCGGCTCCAGCCTTCCCCTCCTGGCCCTCCCTCGGTGGGGTCGGGCTGCTTCCTTCCACTTCCATACCGTCCCAGTGTCCTCGCCGGCCCTGGTCGGTGCCTGCACCCGAAGCCCCAGACTCTCCTTCTCCAGGCTCACAGGGCCTCCCAATGCAGCGCTGGCAGGATGTGTTACACCCGCCCTCACTGTCTGACCCCACAGAACACAGCGACCTGAACACAGGGGACAGGAATGCAGGGGACAGCAGGTGGACAAGAAATCAGTCTGCAAGGACAGCATGAAGGAGCGGGAAACTCACACTAACTTGAGCCCCAGCGTTTGAGGTTATCATCACCTGCCTCCTCTCAGGAAGGCTGTGCTGTTTTGAGTCAGGGTCTTGCTATGTAGCCCAGGCTGGTCTTGAATCCACTGTGTAGCCAGGGCTACATCTGAGGTGAGGGAACTTGAAGTGGTCCTCCTGCCTCAGCCTCCCGAGGACTGTTATTAGAGACAGTGAAGTGATTTTCACCAGAGTCTGTCAGCTGCGTGCTTTCAGTGCTGCCTTCAGCTCTATTTCTAAGTCAAGCTCGGGCGCCCAGCCTTTTCCAAACCTGTTCTCTGCTGAGTTCCTCCTGAATTTTATAGGTAGCTCTTTGGCTGGAGCTGCCTGTCTCCAGGCAGATGTCTTTCCGTGTCTGCATTCTGGGCACCCGGTTTCTGGCTGGGCCCAGAGGAGGAGAAACCGGTTCGCCCACTGGAGTGAGAGGTGTTCATGGGAAGCAGACAAGGTCACTGTGTCTGCCTATCTGGGGCAGCGCTCGAGGAGGAGCCTGAAATCCGGCCCGGAAGCTGCGGCTCACAGAGCTGGGCACCCAATCAGGCACAGGCGCCCTCACCCTCAGCTGGTTTTCACAGTTGTCTTTTGTGGTGGTTTGGGTTTTTTTGAGGCAGGGTCTTGCTATGCAGTCCAGGCTGGCCTCCAGCTTGTGGCAATCCTCCTGCCTCAGCCTCCCGAGTGCTGGGATGACAGGCATGCACCAGCACACCTGGCCTTCTAGTGCCTATCACTTTGACATCAAAGGCCCACCACCTTCCTTTCCATTCCTCTGCCAGTCGAAACAGATCACATCTGGGTGGCTGAGAGCCTAAACAAGGGCTGGGCACCTCAAGGAACTGCCTGCCCATCACCCACCTCCTGGCTTGGGCCGTGGCCCTTACAGGGGACATTCCACAGGCAGCCTCCCACACCTCTCCCCAGGGCTGCTCTGCATCGTCAGCCCCGAGGGCGGTGCTCTGGGCTCCTGATGTCTGCACCCCAGGCCCCTCCCAGGCTGCCACGTGGCAGGAGCAAGGTGACTTCCACTCCTCGCTCGTGTTCGAAGTCCGCTGTAAACCGGACCTTCTGCTGCCCACCTCTCTGCTGTTTTCCAAACAGGAAAATGTGGCTGAGTTAGTAGCTGTCTCCGAGGGTTGCTGAGAGGAGTGAAGAGGTTCCTGACAGAGCCAGGCGTCACTTGTCGAACAGCACCTGAATGGGGGAGTGAGGATGAAGAAAAAGATGCAGAGATAGAGTCAGGAGCCTCTCCGAGAGACTGCCTGTGCTTTTTTATTAGCAGCTCAGTGCCCCCGAACTGGTGAGCTGCCCTTGACCTCTGGTTTGAGACTGCCTGTGCTTTTTATTCTCCTCCCTTTTTTTCG